TCAGATCTTCATTATGTCCTGCCGTGTGCCAAAAGGGATTGAAGGACATATGTAAGACAGGACAATTGTCATTCAATGCAATAAAAATGTGAAAGACCACGTTAGTACTCAGAGATGCACAGCTACCCAACACACCAAAATACACCGCTATACCAAAAATCTCATTCCTTCGGTGTTATGACAGTGCTTATGGGCATGGCACCACCCAACTCATAAGGAACCTGGAGTTTTTTAAGTAATGGAGACTACTACTAAATCAAGAATCTACTAGCCAAGGAAGTTACCTGGAAGATTCTAAGGGTTTTTCGGGGCTGGAATGCTAGGCCCAAAAGCAACCTAGACGAGTCTGCCTGGAACTCTTGCTCAACTCCCAGAGACTAGCACTGGAGGAGCTGCGGTGTTTATCCTGAAGTTAGAGAACAGGTAAGATTGGACCCATGTGGAGTTGGGACGTCAGTTACTCTCATGCTCATACAGATAATGCTGGTTGGTACCTTAGGGGGTTTACAGAAGCCTATATTAAGAGGCACATTCCGTCTACATGTAGCTAGATAAATGCCTATTAATTAAGGCATCTTAATAAATATTTGTTTTAGACTGATAGGCAAAAAACTGCAGTGATTAACTCTCTTGTTGCTAAGTGTTTCCCAGACCAAGGTTGTAGTAGTGCTCGAAAGTCTCTTCAAATACTTCTGATTACATCATGCAGAAAGACTAAGTTTGCTGTTTATGTTCTTTTATCCTTACCTAATATTACTTACTAGTCACACCTTCTATAAAGGGAGGGCCGAGTTTGGGCTGAGTTTTCATAGGCAATACTACATAGCTGGAATTTAATAACACTCCTTCGTTTTCATTATATCTGTACGTAATCTTCTATTCACAGAAAGTGGTATCAATTTTTAATGTACCAACGCAATATGCTTCCTTTTCAAAATAAACTGGTATCAAAAAGTGAGTCGTTTTTAAGAAAAGCATGAAGTAAACAATGCTTTTAAGTATAAAATTAGAATGGTATATGGATATGTCAAAACCCATCAAGATCATTCTCTCCAAAGTTTAGAAAATGCTGTTTTAGAATCACCATACCTGTGAATTAAAAGCTGTTATTTTGGCCCTAGCCAGTGTGGCTAAGTGGTTAGAGTGTCAGCCCTGAGACTGAAGGGTCCTGGATTTGATTCTGGCCAAGGGTATGTACCTCGTTCCCAGGCTTGATTCCCGGCCCTGATCGAGTCTCGTGAGGCAGGCAACCAATTGATGTTTCTCTCTCTCCCTTCCACCCTCTGAAAACCAATGAAAAAATATCCTTAAATTAAAAAAACAAACAAACAGCTGTTATTTTGTAAACTATCCTATTAGTAACTTTGTGACTAGAACTCCTTCCTCTGACTAATGCTAAGGGACATGAATGATAACATTTTCAGGATAACCATATATTAAATCACTCGTTTCACAGCAGAAACAATCGCGGGCCAAGGACAAGTAACCTACTGTGGCCCTGAGAAGTCCACAGCTTGGGAATTCTGGTCCAGAGCACAGCCCTCCGTTGATGTGGGATCTGATAAAGGAGCTTTGGTTCCTCTAACCAAACTCTGTATAGAGTTTAGGAACATAGTAAAGGTAATTCCAAGGTAAGTCACACTTGACTTAAAATAGATTTGAATGGCATCAGACTAGGACATGATTCAGGGAGGGATGAGCTGTCCAGCTCACTTATACCCACTGCTCCTTAAAGGCAGCTCCTCTCCATTTCAATGAGGGGAATGAGGACAGATCTCTGAGAGGAAGCCACCTACTGGGTGTATAAAAGGACTGGCAGCTGCAGTTCTGGCTTATGGTAGAGATTTTGAAATTTTAAGATATTTTGTACTCTTTTTTCAGGCCTGCATCCATGCAACAGAATGAGTTATCAGTTCATTTGAAGTTCCGACCAAAGGCTCCAGCTGGCCCAGTCCCGACTGGCAGCCCTAGTCCATTCAAACTGCTACTCTAAGCGAGAGTTCGCACACACCTCTCACCTCCTGGAGACTTCCAGCAGGCCATCCTGTCCCAGCCCTTCCCTGGGAAAGTGGAAGCTATTAGGAGAGAATGAGCTCATTTCCCAATACCAAACTTAGCAAGCTCTCAGCATTTACACTCATTCACTCCAGAATCCGAGCACTGCTCACTAGGCTATAGACTTTTGTATTGTTTTGATCACTGCTTTGTCCCCAGTACCTAAAACTGCCTTGTAAATAGCTGTGATAAATATTTGAATGAGTAAAAACACCTCCTTCCCTTTTGACACATGAACTGGAACTGACCCCGTGCCTATTGAGACTAACTGGTCATGAGTCTCAGTTCTCATTTCTCATCTGCCTACTTAGATTTCACTCCTACAATAATCCACTCCTCCCAGCTGCATTCATTTGTCCCCCTCTAAGGCAGTATCTCAATCAGCAAGTAATCATGCTATATTATCTCCATGCAAGTTAAAACTTTCCTTAGCTCACCTATCCATTTATCCCCTATACACCAATGCTCGAGTTGTCCATAACTGCTGACTCTACCTCAGTCCCTTTCTGCTCCCAGTCCAGTCCTTCATCCCCTGAGTTTGCAACCTGTTAAATTTAGCAATTCCCCCAATCTCACGGTTAATTCGCAGTCCTCCTCTTACTCAACAGAACTTGAGGTCACTCTCCTTGAAACTTCTTTTGCTTATTTCTGATGTGGCACATTTTTCTGGTTTGCCTCCCTGAGAGACCAGTCTCCTTTGCTGGCTCCGCCCCGTTTTAAATGCTGTAGTACCACAAGCCCTGCCCCTTCCTTTCTGGATCAGCATGGTTGCTACTGGAACTGCGGGTCCCTGAACCAGCAGCAGCAGCAGAGGGGCTTGTGAGAAATGTAGCATCTCAGGCCCCATGCTGGGGCTACTGAATCAATCTGGACTCTTCAAAAACCAGGTGACTCTTATGCATATTAAAATTTGTGCACTATTCTACTCACTAGAGTGATATCAGTCTCGCCTCCAGCTCCATGCTAGATCCCACAAAAACACCTATCAAGTATCTCAAACAGAAGTGCAAAACAGAAATCTTGACCCCCCCCCCCACAAGCCAAAAACCCAAGAGTTATTCTTGTCACCTTTTTGCTTTCCAATCTGGGGTCTGTCTACCTGATGGCCGTACCTTTGCAACCTAGGCAGAGCCCTACCACTCACCACTTCCACTACCCTAGTCCAAGTCATCGATATTTTTGACGCAAAGAAAGAATTCTGAGTCTCCAAAGTCTATTTTCACCAAGACTCCCTACAATGAATTTTGTACCCAGTATCCAGAGTGATCTTTAAGAAACATACCCTTTCCGAACTTTCTACCATAGCTTCCAAGAGCCAACATTTTCTAGCCCCTTCCACACTGTCCAATGCTCTGCTCAAGTCAAACTGACAGGCTTGTTCTACTCCTCCCTCCCCTAAATCTTTGTCTGCCTTGCTTCCCAACTTCTGGTCTCAGCTCAAAAATCTCTTCCTTGGTGAAACCTTCTTTAATCCTGTAACTGAGACTGCTCTCCCTTTGCATTCATTTTCTAGCTCTACTGTGCTGGGCTTTCCTTTCAGAACTGACAGTTCCCTGACATATAAACATCTGACTCTCCCACTAGAACGTATGGTCCACGAGCAGGGACTTTTTCTTCCCTTGAAGCCACCACTGCTCAGTGACTAGCACACAAGCAGCACTCAAGAACTGAGTCTTCAGGTGTTGTTGGAGGCAGGGGATAAACTCTCCAGTGAGTACCAGCACTTACATAGGCTTGTCACACAAAAATCTGGACATAGAGAATCCACCAGCAGTTTTCAATAGGTTCAAATTTTCATAATATGGCAGCTGGTTCTACAACATTTCTGTACATTAGAATCACTTGGGGACCTTTTAAAAGTCCTAATACTTAAGCTACATTTTAAATGAATTAGATCACAATTCCTGGGGGTGGTACACAGGTACCAGTATGTTTTGAAGCTCCTGAGGTAATTCTGTTGTTGGTTAAGTTTGGGAACCACTGGTACATACTGGGGTGGGCAAAAGTAGGTTTACAGTTGTGAGTACATGAAACAGACGTTATCCCTGTATTATTATTTAGTAATTATCGTATTGTTTGTATTACAACCGTAAACCTACTTTTGCTCACCCTTGTAGTATGCTTTGGTAAGTATGATATACAATATGAAGTCTACAATACATAAAGAGAAATCCCAGTCATACTGTTATGCAAACTTAAGACTTCTATTTCCTATGTGGTATAGAAAACAAAAAGAAATTCATTAAAATAACTGTTTTAAACATTAGGTCTTAAAGAGAGCACATCTTTCAGGATTTCCTACATTTGTTTTCCTGTCAAGACTAATCCAAATTTGGGCACTTCTACTGGAAGTTTATTATTTGCTGATGTGTGAATCAAATTTATGTATGAAAAAGTGTTGACTTCTTTGTAAGTCACATCTGAAAACTTTGGGGAGCTTGGCACATACTCATATTTTTAATGGCATCAGGTAAATAGCTCTATCCTGGTAACAACAATGTAATTACTAAGACAAAATGCTATATTCTCAAGAAAGAGGAGGATTTTAAAACTCAACAAGTTATAATAAATTCTTAATCATGCTGTCTAAAACTTCTTGCTTAAGAAGTAATATAAATAAACTCTAGTCAACGGAAATATCCTTAAGACAGAAGTTAATCAAACATTATGCATTTACCTGTCTCTGAGCTCGCCTTTACAGTGTCTTCATACCTCAAAGTGAAGCACAAAATTGATGAAAGAGAAAACCAAGTCATCTGATTATTAAAATCCTCAGGCAGTGAGCACTACAGATTTCATAAGAACCTTGGGGATACTTAAGCCAACCTCATATTATATACACATGAACAACCTAACACCCAGGTGAGGTGGAACAACATGCCTAAAAGTCACACAGGAGAGCTAGAAGAGAAACAAAAACAAACTCTTTTCCAAACAAGCAGACAGAATTTTTCACATGTTAATCAAAAAAGAATCAAGATCATCAGATTAGGAAGAAATGAGGAATAAAAAATATGTTACACATAGATTTAAAGGACTACTCAATCCACTGGCCCGATCCCCCCAAAAAACAAAAAATTCTCTGAATATATGGACATACATCCATCAAGATGCTCACCCTTAAAATATCAGGATTTTGGAAAATTCACTTTACAAATACATTATTAATTGCATCATCATAATGAAATTAGATCACTAAACGTGAAAGCATCAAACAGCACCAATACCAAAAAGTTAAGAAAGGAAATACATTGTTACTTAAAATAATATATCATCACTGATTGGGACAGAAATGAACTATAGCCAGTAGCAAAATTAAGTTTCTGTTTGACATAAAAACAGTATTTAAAGACTAGTATATGCCCTTATCCCAGTGAGAGACCTTTGTCTAGGCATCTCAGCGGTGGGTCAATGTAGAAAATATTATTAAACAGGATGGACTTCTTTTCAATGTTTAACCTTGAACCATACTACATAACCCAAATTTTGCCAATATAAGCCAATGGTAGCATTTTTGGTGTCTAACTACTCTTACCTGTCCCAATGAACACAAAACAAAACACAACTCCCTTATTAAGCGTTAAATTAGATGTGTCTATGAAGCAGCAGCAAGGCATTTACAAATGGGCTAACAGTTTATCAAAATACTACCAATGAAAAGACAGCAGCAAATACTCTAATAAGAGCACATTATTCCACGTGGAATCCCAAGTTATTCTCTCCGATTCCTTAAATTCTGGGAAGACTAGAGATGAACAAGTGTATGTATAAAAAGGGCCAGGGAGAAAGCAGCTCTAAATGGTATATAGTGTTCATATTTTAAATTACCCACAATGATTTTACGCTTGCAGAGAACTCCCAACTATTATCTAAAATTTTTTAAGCATGTAGAAAGAAAATGCCAGCAAAACTTTGGTGTTAACCCAAAACATAGAACTGCATTTTAGGTGAAAATGAAATAGGCATGGCCTGTGAAGTTTTTATAGTGTTTACACCACCCTCTCCCTGTTCCCTGCTCCTTTCATGAGGTGATCTACAGACTACCTGGTTTGGAATATTTGGTAATTCAGTGCAGAAAATTAAGGTCACAGACAAAGTACAACAACTTTTAATACACCGTTAATACTAATGATTAAAAATTATTGCATAGTCTTATGCATTTACCCTAAAACATTTTCTGAAAGTAAATTCTGAAAGAATTATATAAAAGACAAATAACCCTTTAAAATGTGGATGCCTTTACTACCTCGATCTTCTATCCTTTTTTGTCTTTTCAGTACTTTTGTCCATTGTTTTCTCATTATCTCCCCTGCACTTGGGGCAATACCATTTCCCCTTTGGTTTATAGGTCAGTGAAACACACGAAAAGTGAAACCACTCAATTGGACACTGTTCATTATCACATCCGATCATCTCCCCATAAGACACTTGGTTACATAAACAGTATGTAGGTTCATTGGGATCTATTGCAAACTCAACAGGTGAAGCTTCCCTTTCCTGCTTGGCCTTGGAGCGTTTCTTTTTCTTGGCTGACTTGGATTTCTTTTCTTTAGGTGGCTGATCATCACAGTCTTCAATGCCATTAGTCATGTGACATAAATCACGGCTTTCACTGGTTCGCTGTCTTCGGGGTCTCCTTGAAGATCTTTCTGGTTGGCTAGAATCCGTTTTTGCTTTATCGGAGGCTCGTTCACTTTCAGCAGGATCTTGAAAACACTGTGAATGTAGCTCCATTTGCCTTGCCCGATTTTCCACCAATTCGAGCATTTGTGTAACGATCTGAATTTTTTCATCTCCCAGTTCTTGACTATTGATTAATGCTCTCTGGAGATGCTGCTGCAGGCGTTTTTTCTGGTTTGAATCATCTTCTTTCTTATATTTTTCATAGACGTCATCAATTTCCTTTAATGTTTCTAAAAAAGGAAAAATCAGACAGTTATTATGTGTTAGCACATATAGCATTTTTAAGTTAGTTATCTTTCACAAAATTGAAAGAGTTAGAATGAATTCAAACCATAAGATCGCATTCTTCTTTAGTATGTGTACATTAAAAGTATTTTATGAGCCTGTCCACATAAAATACTTTTGATTATTAATTAGCCACACATTTCATTTTTATATATGGTGTTTTTAAAAAAATTGATTTCAGAGAGAGGAAGGGAGAGGGAGAGAAACATTGATGATGAGAGAGAAATACCGACTGGCTGCCATACTGGGGATTGAGCCCACAACCCGGGCATGTGCCCTGACTAGGAATCAAACCATGACCTCCAGGTTCATGGGTCCATGCTCAACCACTGCGCCACACCAGCTGGGCAATATCGATTATTGAGTATTAGAGTTTTGTGATCTTGCTTTTATTAGTTTATTTCTAAATATACTTTTATATTGGATAACATATGGTCTTTGTATGGGAAATAATGTTTTTTTAAACATTACTTAGAAATAAACTAATAAAAACAAGTATTAATAATCAAATGTATTTTATGTGGACAGGCTCACTGTATGCCACTTTAGAGTCTACCTAGTGCCAAACTCTCTTCACTTAATTTGAACCTCAAAACAATCCTGTATATAAAACTTACATGCCAGACTCCAGCTGTAAAACTTAAAGAAATTCAAGGACTAGGCTGCAGATTACTGTCCAAATGCATTTAGAGGATTTACAGTTCAATCAATGACTTGCATGACTCCAGAGAGACACATTACACCTTTACTTTCCTATCATATCCCTGGACTTTCTTAAAGCAGACAGCAGCAGCTCTTAGCTTCCCATCATATTAGTTTTAATGGCTCGTTTATTTTGTCACATGAGAGATGATTCTGAAACCTAAACTATTTCCAGAGTAGGTTTAGTTCATGTTCTGGCATCAACTGACTAAGCTACTAACAGAATTACAGTAAAGTCAGCATTGGATCACTATGCTTTTATAGATAACTCAGCAGCTGAGTCTCATAGCATTTGGAACACATTTAAATCAATTAAAAACAGCTGAGTCACTAGAAGGTACACAAAAATCTGAAAATACAGCTCCAGCTATCACCAAAATTTACATAAGATTAGTTTTTATTCAAATTTGTTCTATTTTTTATCCTTATGGGATTTAACACTATTTGAAAGACTTCTGTCTTACTAAAGGTAGAGAAAGAAAAAATTAATTCTAATTTATCCCACCACGTGGCAAACCACTGTTTTATATTCCAATATCATTATTCTATATGATAAGAACAGAAATGTTAGGCAAGTAGCTCCTCCTTGGAAATTGTAGGTACTCACAATTGGTGGACAACTGTTTAACCTCAGATACATGACAAAGTGGCACTACACATTTGAGGGTACTCACACTTGCATAGCATATTTTAATTTGTATTGTGTGTTTTTTTGTTTGCATAGCATATTTTTAAACAAAGACTGATATTTTTACCTAGCTCATTTGCCCAGCTAGGTATGTAAGTGGATTTCTTAAAAACTTAATTTTTCACCAGGAAAAATAAGAAAGTTGTATATTTTCCCCCAACCCCCACCCAAGACACACAAAATTTGAAGGTAAAAAATAAAGGAAAACCTTATTTCAAATATTCTTTATCTAGTAATCAGGGCTTAGAAGCTAATTATATCATACCAACACAATGATACTATACATGAAATAAAAATTCACATTTTTAAGACAATGTAATTATCAAGTGAAAGGAGGAGGTGAGACCCTTCTATGTGATGAACATTTTCTCATATAATTCCCACAGCAACCCCATGAGGAAGCCATCACTTCCATATGTAAAGAAAATGAAGCTCAAGAGATAGCAACTCCAGACTTTTAACTCTGCCAGATCTGTATGTCTGGCTCCACCATTTAAGCATTTTCTACCTAGCAGAAAGGAAGGCACTTGAAATTAGTATTAAAGGTTATTTACCCAGGAAATTATGAACAAAAATATTGGAACAAAAACTGAGGCTCTCTAATAACCATATCCCATAATAAGTACTTCATTATTGTAAAATTTTCTTCATTGCTCTATTTTTAATTTTTTAAGGTTACTTTTAAGATTCCTCAGTAATTTCTAAACTGTCTCAAATAGATAGGGAATTTCTTTGGCTGCTTATTTAATTTATACCACTAAATATTACAGTATTAGATCCAAAATGAGAAAATACTTTAAAACGAGCAAAGAAATAAGAAAACATGAATTCTGAACCAAGAACACACAAGTATTTAAAGCTTATAAATACAAAACTGAAAGCTGAACTTAGTAAGAATGTGCAGAGTGAAAACTAGGTCGTCTTTCTATTATTAATCTTGAAACTAATCACAATCTTAACACAGCTGAAAATTTTTATAATTTCTCACTTTTAAGGCCTAATAACTGTCTATGTTACCAGAGCTACTTATGACAATTCTAGATGGAAGATTTCCCTGTAACAGACTGTCTGTTCCCAATTCAAATGAAGAAGAAAAAAAAATAGCTTAACTTTTGTGAAGGCAAATACAGGTATGTGTCTTTACAGAAACATGAAAACCTTCACTATAGAGTTATCAAAAAGCTAAAAATGCTGAATATACAATTCTTAAGCATATATGTATCGTTTTAAAGTTACAATGTATGTAGTGTGTGTGTGTGTGTGTGTGTGTGTGTGTGTGTGTGTTCCAAACTGTAGAAAATACCTTTGGAGAGCTTTACATGAAAAGAATAAAGTTAAAATAGTTCAAAAACAAGTCTGGCACCTGAAGTAGCCACGCTGTGGAGTCAAACATTCCCCACCTAATTGGACAAGTTATTTAAACTCCCTGTAAATTTTAACTTATCTGTAAAATTTTACTTCATAGTGTTATTGTGAGGATTAAATGAGATAATGTCCGGGACCTGACATAGCAAATAACACGCAGTAAGTAATCAATGTTAATTTCCTTCCCCCCTTGCGGAGATCAGTCCTATCAATCATGGATTCGGAAGGCAGAAATAAAGTATAGATTTGAAAACAGAAACATTTAAGTATCTTAATATGCTAAGGGCCTGAAAATGCCGCCCCAGAAGTGGGTTCCTTAGAGACTAAATCATAGGATTTAATGACGTGTCTAGAAAAACAGGGAATGGGTCCAAGAAATTATCTCTTTAAAGTCCGTACAGCTGTTATGTCCAAGGTCTGTTTCTTGACTCAGGGTTATTAAAAGCACAACGGCTCCCCATTTAAACCTCTCCCCTCCTAGCAGGTGAAGGGTCCACCATTAGTGGATGATAAACGACAGTCTGTACGAAAGGCTGATTCCCTGTCCTAGCTCCTTGGGGCTGACCACGGAAGGTGTTTTTTGCCTCATCACTTAAACTTGACGGAGGAGGGAGGGGTTCAGAGACGCCAGACGGTTGCCCGGTCAACCACCTACTTCCTCCTGGGACCCGGAAGTGAGGCCAGAACCGGAACCTACGCGGTCCCAGGGTCAGCGAAGCTCCCAGTAGCTGACTGTCCTCGTCACAACTGAGTGGCTGAGAAAGAGTCGAAGATTCTCAGCAAACGTGCCCTATACCCCAACAGTGACTCTGCTGGGGACGAACTAACGTCCGGCGCGGCTCCGACGCCCGTCCAACCGACCAGCTCCACCCAAGCCTTCCCGCGACCAGCCATTTTCCTGGCGGGCGGGAGCGCGCGTCCGCGCCCCTCCCAAGTCTACGTCACGCCCTCCGGCCACGCCCCCAGGAACCAGGGACCCTCCCCGCCACACACACCCCTCTTCCTCTACTCGCGGGGACCCCTCCCCTTTTAACCATTTGGCTGAAGGAGCTGGGGAAGGGCTACAGCCCGGAACTCTCCCTGGGGCGGGAGAGGAGAAGGGACTCCCCGGTGGCCGAGCCGGGAGCGGAGAGCGGAGGGAGGGACCTCCCGGGAGTCCGCCTTCGCGGTCCTCTCGCCCCCTCCCCCCGCACGTTCCAATGCATATGCTCAGGGGGTGGGGGCCCAAGGGGGCCACGGGAAGGCAGGCCCCGGAGCCCGGCGGGAGCCCGGCCACTCGCTCCCCGCAGCCCGCCGCCGGGCTGCACGCTCCCTCGCCTGGGCCGGAGGGTTGCGGCACCGGGCATGCCAGCGCCAGAACAA